ATTCAATCAATAATATGATCAATGTAATATTTAAAAAAATTAAGGCTCTTGAATAACAAAAACATGTTTATAACTTGGACTTCAGATGTTTATTCGCAAAAAGGCGGTGCCTAAAGCAAATTACTTCATAGATGTGAACTGAAAACAAGCCATGATCGATCCATTTTGGCCCAACCGAAACGTTCTATGGAAGAATAGTCATATTCTGCAACCGGACGAAGTCTCAACAACATCTTCTAACTATGAAGATGATAGCTTGCAGTATGACTTCTTTCACATTGCTATAGCTCCAGGTATCAATCTGAAATGGTCCAACTTTGTTTAAACATTGCTAATCAATTTATTCACCTACACATTTCATAGTCCTCAAGTTTTCGCAACTCTTTGGAGTCTTCCCGCTACACAGCGTCATGGAGCGTCTTCCGAAGAACCTTTTCTTCAAATCCAGCACCTTGACCTCGTTCGTAAGTGTGGTCGCCATCTTCGGTGGGTACTCCATATCCGTACTCAGCTTGAAACGTATTGCCCGAACAGGGATAAATGCCATCAACATTGCTGAGCCGTTCTTCTACGCTGTTTGCGCTACGAGTGCCGTCCAATTTTGGTCACTGGCCAAAGAATGGAAATCGATCATCACCGTATGGTCTCGAACAGAGCGAGTATTTCTGAGCAAACCTTTCCGCGACAGTAACCTACAGAGGAGGATTCGACTGACGGCGGTTGTGATTCTTATGCTTGCTCTCGGTAAGTTGGACAGAAATTATTTGACTAGCAATCAATTATGGAAAATATTATTTTTGCAGCTGAACATGCTTTCTCTGTTGCGAACAATATAGCTAACTTGCAAAAGGAGGCTTCACAATGCAATTGGACCATCACCAGACCTGTCAAATACTTTTGTCTTAAAACTTTTAGTTCTGCGTTCGATAGCATCCCGTACAACTTGCCTGTCGCCATTTACAATGAGGTATTAGCCAAGTGCTTTGGTTAAGGCAAATTTTTAATGAATTGGTGTTTTCCATCCAGTACGTTATCGTGGCAATGACATTCGCGTGGAACTTTGTCGACCTGTTCATCGTCCTCGTGAGTATAGGGCTAACCACTAGGTTCACTCAACTGAACGCGCACATATCGGATAGGATACGGAGCTGGAAGCCAACTTCCCAGAACTTTTGGGAGCAGATCCGCATCCACTATGTATCGCTATGCGAATTGGTTCGTGTGTTGAACCTTTCAATCAACCGGTTGGTTTTCGTATCGTACGCCAACGACCTGTACTTCATTTGCCTGCAGATCTTGAATGCCACTCAACAACAGCCCTTCCTGATCAACAGAGTGTACTTTTTCTACTCCTTCAGCTTTCTACTGCTACGAACGTTTCTCATGTTTTGGTTCAGCTCCCAGGTCCAGGATGCGAGCCATGTGCCATGCAAGTTGATACTGCGAATTCCAAATGACGAATACTGCGAGGAAGTGCAACGGGTACAGATGTACTCCAAACGCGGCGTCAGCCTCACCGGAATGGGCGTTTTCGTGGTATCGCGAGGGATCTTTCTAACGGTAGAAGAAAGCTTCGTTTGAGGTCGTAGATATGGCTTCCTAATCGATTTGTTCATTTCAGATCGCTGGGACGATTATCACATACGAGCTTGTGCTATTGTCGTTCACCAAACGCACCTCTGAGCAAACGAGCAACGGCAACGGCAGCTCGTGTGAGCCATTACAGTTGGACTAATGTGATCAGTTTGCGATTTATTAATCTGATCTGAAATGGGTGACAATCGTTAAATAAGCTTGCATAAAATTAATATACATATGTCTACACATCATTTTTAATATTTGCAAACAATGTTTCAATTTTCAATATTATTCTACTGTATCACTGCCATTGATAATTTTTCATATGAAATTTGGGATCGACAAACCAATTAAATTGAAAACTTATGATCCGTAGAAAATTTTCAGTAATAGATATCAAGGAAAATGTTGATAATATTTCACCAATGAACCATTTCATCAAAAAAATATATTTTACTGAATAAATTTCAATCATGGCGTTCAATAGCTTACAATATTATTAATCAAACAAACGACTGTTATCATTAGCTGAAAAATGGTGTGTTTTTGTTTTGCTGCGTCGTTTTTGTTCTAGTGAAAATGTTATAAATTTAAAATTTCATTTTTAAAAAGTGTTAATTGGAAAGTACAGAAGTGATGTTGAAAAGTACATTAAGTGAAATTGTTTAATTCTTATCCATTGCATGTGGTGCCAACTGTTCTAAACTACGCGTAGCTACGCACAGCTAAGTTTATTTACCTTTTCGTTCCTCTGTCCTCGATAGGAAATATCCATCTAATTCAAGACGATCATTTTAAAACTTACTAAATACGCGTCAATCAAGTAGTGCCCTGCTGCTTGATTGAAAGTTTCAGTACATTATCAATGGTGCATATTTGCATCGATAATGTATTGGAGCGGGGCTTATCATGTGTGAAAATAGCTTCGAAATGCTTGTGTTCTTGAAATGGGCTATTGTTGCTGCCGCAGAGCTGTCACCTTCTAACTCCCGGGTTCAAGCTTCTTTGCATTCATAAGTAATGATTGCAGGCAGATTTTATCCATAATGCCACTGCCAGACAGTGGGAGCTAGGCCAAGGGCGAATATTCATTATAATCTACGATTCCACATACAATTAATAACCTTTTACACATTAGAATGAATTGTGCATATGTTTAGGATCAACAAACATTTTCAGGCGCAAAGGAGCGAAGGATCGAGCTGATAACGTTTCTTAATTCCAAAAGCTGAAGACTGTTTTGAATAATATGTTTAGGTAATGGGCAGCAACTACGGACAGATAAACTACTGTCAGTATCTATTTATTAAATGCTTGATATAACGATTGCCAGCAACGCCGCCTGGGCGCATCCTATGGCTTACCCTCCCTACTAACAAAAATCCACCCTTCCCGTGACACTTATGAGGGGTCGTAGAGTTCTCTGCATCTCTCTTAAGTAAGTGTTGGACTAACATTCCTTCCCTTTCCCCACCAGATGCAAGGACGTGGCTAGGACAGCTCTGGTCTGTTGGAGGGTTGACACATCCTTTATCTAAAAGGTAGTATTTGTTCACAAATTACTATCTAACAGCAACGGATTCATGGATTAATGGTTCCACGGTTTCCGATCCGGAAACGGTAGCTGATGAACTCGGTTTCTACTTCGCCGAGACAACAAGTTCAAGCAGAAAACCAAGCCATCGACCGCATCCATCGCAGACTTCATAGTACCCCCCGACACCGCCAGTACCGGTATAAACCAGGCTTTCTCTTGGCAGGAACTGCAGCATGCCCTTCGTTGCAGCAAAGGGAAGTCAGCGGGACCCGACGAAATCGGATATCCTCTACTCAAAAGGCTACCGGTACCAGGACTGCTACGGATGCTAGACCTTTTCAACAAGCGCTGGCTCCCTAACGGGTACCCAGCAGTATGGAAGGAAAGCTTGGTAGTTCCCATCGCGAAAGCCGGCGTAGCCACCCGTGAAGTCAGCAAGTTCCGTCCAATAGCGCTAACATGTTGTATGGCCAAAGTCCTAGAGCGTATGGTCAATCGAAGATTGAAGCAACACCTCGAAGCTGGAAGTTTCCTTGATCACCGACAGCACGCTTTCCGACAAGGTTTCGGAACGTCCACCTATTTCGCAAGGGGAAGTTCTCAAGAACGCCTACGACAGTGGTTTTCACACCGAGATAGTATCACCAACAAGCCGACATGAATGACCATAGCAAAATCAATAATATTTCTGACCAAAGCACACTACTGACATCTGGCTCCGTGTTCGCGGGAAATATTTAGCTAATACCCCGTTCACATTACAGCGTATATCACGTGATATACGCTGTCTTGCAATGAGCACTCATGCATCTAGTTTTCACTGGAAATCCTATGTATGAGTGCTCATTGCAAGACAGCCTATATTACGTGATATAGGCTGTAATGTGAACGGGGTATAAGCCATGGAACCCCATGCAAAATGTATGAATTAATTCGTGTCTGATCCATTCTGAATAAATTATTTTTAACTAGATCAAAAAATCCTATGGTTTTGACAGTTCGGATCACTGCAAATTTAAATCGGCCGTTTACGATTTTCGGGCATAAGTCAGAATTAAGTGTCATGTCGGTTTGTCGGTGATAGTATCGCTCGACATATCGAAGGCCTTCAACAGAACGTGGACGCTCCTTGTCCTTAAGCAACGAATCCAGTTGGGTCTTAACGGACCCATCGTTCACTGCATCCAGAATTTCTTGTCCAACCGCTCATTCCGAGTCGCAGTCGGCAACACCAAATCTCGGCTTTTCCCCGAGGAAACGGGTGTCCCACAAGGATCGGTTATCACCGTTACCCTGTTGCTCGTGGCGATGAACGGAGTCTTCCGTCAACTACCGAAGAACATATTTGTGTTCGTCTACGCCGACGACATCCTCATCGTCACCACCGGACCCACGCCAGTACGTACAAGGATGAGAGCCCAAGCGGCAGTCTCCGCCGTCGCCAAGTGGACCCACTCAGTAGGCTTGGAATTATCAGCCTCTAAAAGCATCAGGTGCCATGTCGGCCCTTCTCGACACAGAATTAGCGGACCACCGATCAAAATCGACGACCAGTCCATACCGCTGAAGAAGACCGTCCGAGTTCTGGAAGTTCTCGTTGAACGATTCCTCAACTTTGAACAGCATTTCAGTGCAGTCAGTCAGTGCCGCAGCCGAGTGAATCTCATCCAGACCATTTCCCGACAGAATAGATCGAACAACCGCAGCATCCGTTTTCACGTGGCGAGTGCTATTATCGACAGTCGCCTTCTATACGGGTTGGAGATGACCTGCATCGCAACGGATAAGCTTTTAGCTACGTTAGCACCAGTCTACAACTGGCATGGAGACAAATGCTGGCAAACACGGAGACAATTCCGTGGCCATGAAAAGGACTGTAGCTGAAATGTTAGGAGAAAAACACCATACGCACACTCACCGATACACGGACGGATCTCGCTCTCGGGCCGGGGTCGGTATCGGTCTAGCCGGAAACATCACACCAACCAGCTGCAGCTTACCGCCGCAATGTTCTGTCTTCTCTGCTGAAGCTGCTGACATCTTCATCGCTGCTACAACGCTCTCCAACCGACCGATCCTGGTCCTCACGGATTCGCACAGCGTCATACAAACCCTGACATTCGAGGCCCCGACTCATCCCTGGGTACAGGTGACGATGAAGTCCACGCCACCAAACACGGTATTCTGCTGGGTTCCGGGGCACTCCGGAGTACCAAGCAACTCTGAAGCTGACTTTATGGCTGGGGCAGGACCATCTGCCCCCCGCTATACTAACGAAGTACCGTTACACGAAGTCAAGTGCTGAATCATGAGCAAAGTACAGGAAGCTTGGGACGCAGAGTGGGCTCAAAACCGCTCCCTCTTCATCAGACGGATCAAAGGGACAACGAGGAAATGGACAGAACAGTTGAACCAGCGGGATCAGAAGATAGCGTCGCGTTTGAGAACCGGTCACACCAAGATCTCGCACAACTTCAGTGGAACGCCGTTCCAGGACTTGCGTCAGTTGTAGAACTCCAGTCTCAATCGAGCAAAGTTTAGTCTTTTTTAATTCCTTTCGGCTGTTGGGACTTCTCTGCCTGGTGGGGGCCCTCCCCGTTCCCCCGGTGTGGAGCTCTGTCTTATTCAGATTTTAATGTTGTGTCTTTAATATGTTGTGTAAATGTACGATCGAGCCAGGAACCAATTTTCGGTTGAAGTAAACACTGTAAAAACTACTCTGTTGGGGGTCCTCCTTCTGAGGCCCCACCTTTCATTCATGGACGAGATGAACTAACCTACGGCTAAAAATCTAAAAAATAAAGTCTAAAAAAAACGTATGAAGGTGGGTCTCCTTCTTAACAACAGTTTGGAGCTTGTACCACAGACGACATTGTGCAACCTGGTTTATGCTATGTTATGCAATACAACGACTGTTATCATTAGCTTATGAGATATTGTTAGACTAACCTTAAAAGGTGTACCGTCTAAAATCCGCACACACTTAAATTGCTATAACTTTTGATCCATTGGGTAAAATTATTTGAAATTTTGCGTAGACATAGTTTAATGTGTGTTGTTTACACTCTGTAGGTTTATTTCATCAGGTGCCAAAAGTTTTCAAAATGGCGACGAAAGAACAGTGCGTGCGCGAAAAAGTTTTGCACGAGTACTTTGAGAATAAGGATCTGTCGCATCGTGCCATCGGAAAAAAAAAGTTGGGAATCGCGAATTCCACGGTGTCTGATATCATAAAATGGTTCGAAGAACGTCTGACTGTTGATCGGAAGCAAAGATCCGGAAAAAAGTGGTCATAGGTCAACGACCCAAGTAACCATAGGCACGTTATTTCGCCTTTTTGGCTATATACAGCTGAACAACGGCTATACCATTGTTTGTAAGTTCTGATGAGGCCCGTATATAGCCAAAAAGGCGAAATAACGTGCCTATGGTTACTTGGGGAGAACGATCACAAACGCATGGTTGGGGCCTTTAAACGGAAACCGAACGCCTCATTACGATATATGGCTAAAAAGTTGCATGTGAGCAGGACTTTCGGGCAGAATACCAAAACTCGAGCTGGATTACGTACGTTTAAGGTTCAGAAGTCACCAAACTGTGAGTTTATACGGTCGCAAAAAGCCGTTCCCGGAAGTTGTACGACCGCAAAATAACGAAACCACACTGCTGCGTAATGGATGACGAGACATATGTGAAGGCGGACTTCAACCAGATTCCAGGAAACCTGTATGTGACTCCCAAGGATAAAGTTCTTAATTTGGCAAACGATTTGTACTTGCGGAAAGCAGAGTACACCTTTCGTTACCGCAAGCACCATGAATGGACAGGTATATTTGGAAGAGTGTCTCCAAAAGCGGCTTCTCCCTCTCTTGAAGGCTCACGACGGTCCAATAATATATTCTGGCCGGATTTGGAATCATGCCCCTTACGAAGGACGTGCTAGAGTGGTCTTCCGACCTAATAAGCACAACCCACACTTAGTATTTCTTAATCTAGCGCAGTTTAGCACCAAACGGAATGTTATTATTACTGATGGGTTCCAAATTTATTTACCTTTCCGTATTCCACTGTTTACTCTGATCTGATTAATTTACTTATAGACTGTTCCAGAAAGTATAAGCACAGCTTATTTTAACGGTCACTTTGAATATAATGAAATATTTCAACATGTTTTGGCTGCGTCCTTTTGTTTGCTCATTTCTGAATGACATAGCATCAAAAAAGTGCTCAGTTTTGTGTTTCCTGTCAAAATGCGTGGTCTTACTCCGGAACAAAGAAAAAGTATCGTGCACAAATGGTGCACTGTGAGCGGACTCTCTTTGAGAAAATTGGCCAAGGAAGAGGGTGTAAGCGTCGGAGCGGTACGAACTGCGAATAAAAAATATAGAGAACAGTGTACGTTTGAAGATGCGCCGAAGAGTGGCCGGAAATCCGGTCCTGTAAGTCCGGATATCGATAAAAAGATCAGGGATGTCTACAAACGGAAACCAGCGACTTCCGTTCGGGATGTTGCGAAAAAACTAGGGACCTCATCGAGTAACGTCATGCGTGCCAAAGAAAGACTTGGGCTAAAAACATACCGGAAGCAGAAAAAACCCAAAAGGAACCCAAAACCGAGGGTAACGACTCTATCTACGATGCAGGAAATATTGTGTTTTGCTGTGGCTTGCTGTGGCTCGCTGCGCGTACGCTGAGTAGATAGAAAGAAGATTTATCACGATTTTAAAGATTTCCTGCAAAAAAAAGATGTGCGAAGCAAGTAGATGCGAGAAATGAAAGAAGATTTTTCAAAGATTTATTCGCTAGTGTGAGATTTATTGAGCATCTAAAATTGAGACTTAGATGTGTCGCCCCCCTCGCCCAAAACAGGCCGCGTCCGTGAAACCACGGACCCACAAACTCTACGATTCGTTATTGTGTCGAAATTCTGGGTGTATAATAATGGACGACGAAACGTACGTGAAACTAGATTACAAAACGCTTCCCGGACCACAATTCTATACTGTAAGCGAAGGCAAGGACATCCCCGAAACGGAGAAGGCAATTTTTACCGAAAAATTCGGTAAGAAGATTATGGTTTGGCAGGCAATATGCGAGTGTGGTAAAACATGTAGTCCGTACATCACAACGGAGACGATGAACACTCAGAAATACGTTAAGGAATGTCTCCAGAAGCGATTGTTGCCGATAATCAGGCAGCACGAAGGTCAAGTAGTATTTTGGCCTGATTTGGCGTCATGTCAGTGCCCTTAGAATGGTACAAAAGTCAAAATGTATGTTTCGTGCCGAAAGACATGAATCCGCCGAACTGCCCGGAGGCACGGCCAATCGAGACTTTTTGGGCTTTAACCAAAGCAAAGCTTCGAAAATTAATAAAACCAGCGGACGACATCGAAAAATTCAAAAAAGATTGGCCAAAAGTGGACAAAATGGTGGGAAGTACCACTGCGCAGAAGCTAGTGGGTCATGTTCGAGGAAAAGTTAGGAGTCTTGGCTATGATTAAATATGTTGATTAAACGAGAGTAAAGTATCATTTGAAATACAAATACAAATATGATTTGCCAAATAAAATTATTAAAACTTAAAAAAACATGACTTTTTTGTTATTTTGAAAGTGTGCTTATACTTTCTGGAACAGTCTATATTAAAGCTGTATAAACGTTGACTGTCTTCCCAATTCAACGCCAGAAGTTTGATTTAATAACAAACTGAATAAGACTCTGAACCATTTGGTGGATTATTTTAACTTTTGGTTAAAATTTGACAGATGGAAAGTTATCGATTAACCCTGCTATCCGAGCGTGGTTACTTCTGACAGACAAGAAGTTAAATTTTGACAACCTTGGCTAAGTTCTGCTCGAAAACCGGTCGATCGACAGCACAGGGATTTTCGAACATAGAAAATAACTTTCGAAATGTCACTTTTAACCACGAGTTAAATTTAACTCGGCAAATGGTTCACAGCCTAAGTGTAATTTGCACATACATTGACGCTTTAATTCGACTGTTTTCAATTGATTTAATAACATACTCTATTAGACGTCTAATAAATGTTTTCTAGCTCCATTATTGGATTTCATTGCACTGCTTTACAATATTACTGAATAAAGGTGAAAACACTATGTGTACATTAGAGTGATGCAAAATTTGAAATTTTCGCTCCACAATACTTAAACGAGTCCAAATCGGATCCTGACTAACCTCTCAAAATTTGAACCCATTTGGTGGGAAACTGAGATGGCACAAACCATTTGAATTATTATTATTTAGCTTTATTTAGGAGGCTTTCAGCCTTAGGCTGGTTCGCCTCCATAAAAAAAAACCATTTGAAGTTTGCATGGGAATTACTATGGTAAAACCAAGATTTTTGTTCATGTCTATCTAATAATTCACCATATCGGTCTGCTTCAAAAGTTTTCAACTTTGCTTGTAGGAAATTTTTCCAGCTACAACTTTGCTGAAGACTACTTTTTGATTAAATGCAAGGATCGAAAGTTATCAATGGTTCAATGCGCTGATGTCTTATGATCATGCTCAATCAACTGCTCAGCAGGCAACATTGGTATTTCTGGAGCGTTGAATAGGACACACAAATCATGGCTACTATGTCACACTGCAAAATACAGTGTTGCCTACAGAGCAGCTGCTTTATCATGTCATAAGTTTACCAATCTCTTAAATAATTGATAACTTTTTCCTGTCTCGTTTTACATAGAAACAATCTTCAGCAAAGTTGTAGCTGAGAAAATTTTCTATAAGAATGTTTATCGAACTGTTTCGCAGCTCTATATGGAAAAAGACTAGAAGGCAATGAACAGAAACGATCGCGGTTTCAATCTCAAGCTCAACTCTTTTTTTTTTTATTTGTATTCTACACCTAATTAATTTATAGTAATCATCGATCATATCACCCGCGACAATGAATGCATTGATCTAATTTAAAAAAAAATAACCGAGCATCCTTTCCTGGGAATTGGCGAGGTGAAGAGGTAGCATTGGTATCACGCAAAACAACGTTGAATGAATTAATCATTCCCACATGGAACTTGAATTGCGATCGGGAGTGCTGATAGGTATTCAGTTTCAAGCAAGCTTTGATTGATTATTAAGCTGCCCATATGATGAATTCTAGGACAGCTCAGATGACAAGGCAAGTGGCTGGTGATCGGAAGGTACATGGTTCGAATCCCATGCAACGACATGTATATTTGTAATAAATTTTCTAATAATTGTGTGGCGTGTGCTACGTCAGAAATAATGAAAAAAATCACTAGAGCAACACCCCATACCCTGTCTCTCCCGTT